TTATATTTGGAGTTCTTTTTTTCTCCATTTGCCTCAAAATTTCATATCGATTGAGAATTTGATACTTTTGAATTCTTTATCTTAAAAACATGTCGACTTCATAATTAATATAATGATATATCAAGTAAATAAGACACGATTTATTTTACTCACCCTTTGGTAGATGGCTGCGTTGAATATCACCAAAGCAAGGAAAGGAAAAAGATAGCAAATAAAAAAATACATCCAGTGGACGTAAAGGGTGACATATAAGTTGTTGCTTCTCAAGCCTGCCGAACGTAAGCAGTATATAGTAACATTATATTTCCAATGAATTTCTGTATAATAATCTACCTCCCAAAATCTATAAAAAAAGGCAGAACAAGAGTATTTTACGTTATTAATGGTGTAATATTCAATCGAATCTTAAGTTCAACGGATGATAAAATACTCACTTTGGTAGATTGTAAATAAAGGAAAACATCACGATAATCAATACAGCTAGCCGAGCTCGTCCATATGTACAAAAAGACCTAGCTCTTAAAGGATGACATACTGCGATATATCTCTCTAGCGTCACGGTCAGAGTCAAATACACTGTTGCGATTTGCGCCATGCATGATAATGGATACAAGAATTGAACAATCTTTGGATACACAATGAACTTGTAGTCGAATAGCAGGCCAGTATACGCGTAAATTGCAGGTAAACCATAAATTAATATCTGGAAATGTTATAAATCTTTTTTCAATATTGTCCGCTCAAGTGGAATAACGAAAACAATTTAGCTAATTTAGATAAAAGCTTTTCCATTAGTAATTAAGACAAATTTTCCTCTCGAGTAATTAAGAAACGGGACTGAGTTTTTAAATTTAATATTCTTACATGTTATTATATTAAAAATATTCTCAAATAGTCTCAAATTATATTAAAAATATTGGTAAATAGTTATTTAAATACTATTGAATTTCAAATTGCAATGGTTTATAAAACTCAATGATCTATAGATGTGAATTTTGATAACCTAAATTGAATATGTGGAAGATCGAGATATTGAAATATTCGATTAATGATATTTTCATTGCAGTAGTATGTGATTATTATTTTGTTCTTTGTGTCTTCATATTCATAGAATAATAAATTAACAAAAGACTTTGTCACTATATATATCTAAATAACTTTGCTCTCGAAAGATCAATTAACAATTATAAATTGATAATAACTAGATTGCGGATTTTTATATATTTGTAGGAAATTTAAAATTACAAAAACGTACAAAGCTTAATAAAAATATGTATCTATTATATCTATTATATGAAACTGAATATTTTTTTTTAAATGAGATAAATTTATAGTTGAATGAAAATTTCTACTTAGATTTCATTTATAAATCAATTAGATTTATAAAAATACATATTTGCATAAAAATTCATAATCTAGTGATGATAGAATGTTTATATAGAATGTTCTATTGCGTAGGAAGGTCTGTATCTTCCATCTATTTTATATGTGTGGTTGCGATTTAAGCTTCTACTTCAGCTAGTCCTTTTAAGCTACTTTTTCATGTCTAGAAGATAATAAATTTCTGGCGTAAATTCTGGCGTAAATTTTTCGCAGTTTCAAGTTGAGTGCCTAGCAATTTTCATGTCAAATATTTTGTCAACATAAGCGATTTAAAAGTGACTAACAAATATCACGATTAATAATAATTTACTTACCGAAAAGACAATTAATATGGTGTCGCATCTGGCTAAGCCGATTAACAAGTAATTAATCGACGATTTCATTTGTGGTCTTGACAGAATAATCATTGAGATGGCATTACCGAATATCCCAAAAACACCAACTAGGTTTACTAGCACACCGTAGATAATGAAATCAAACAAACCGTTCGAATTGATTTCTTGTTTACATTCGAGTGATTCTCCTGCAGTCTCCTTAATCGATAAATTTTCCAATAATTGGTCAGCTTCGTAGTACTTGGTACTGTTCAAAGCTTCAAAACTTGTTTCCATCGTTTTCAGCTATCTTTGTTTCTTTCTTTCGCTCGATTCTTCATCAATGTTTTTTTTTTTTTCTCATGTCACCATTTCTGATTTTGTAAAAGTATTTTTTTTTCTCATCACGTACATATGTGTAATCAATAATATGTAAACGTATGATTTCAATTGATTTTTTGGCTTTTTTTTTCTTAGAAAAAAATTCACTCAGGAATGGATTTGTCTTTGTTCAATTCAATTTTGTACATGACGCTCAAAATATTTTTCTTCTTACATTTCAATTGACTACCACCTTTCACTTACTATCTTTTGACTTTGTGAAAGTCGAGAACTAATAGTTTTTTTAGCAACATAACGAAGATTTTATCAAAGTTCCAAACTGCTGCTTAACATGTTCTGGAAAGCTATCAATTTCAATTTGATCTGGTCGATGAAAATTTTGTAAATCTCTCGTATGTGCATCTGTGATGTATTACAATTTTACAATAGCCGATATTTTCATCTCCCTGTTTTCTTGAATTTTCAATTTCCAAGAATCTGTAATCAAAGAGCATAAAGTTTATTTTGAAATGCAACTTCTTATTCGCATTCGTTGAATAAAATATAGATATATAAATCAGTAAGTATTTTGCTCACCTTTGATATCTTCGTTATTTTTGACAATACAAAAAAGTCAAGCTTCAAAGGAATTGCGGTTCATAATTTTTTTCAACAAAATCAATCTTTTTTCGAGTTTTTGATTTTCGAGATCATTGCTGTATTTTTAATTTAATAACGACACATTTCCTTTTCATTATTGTAGTTGAAAAAGATACATTTAAATGTGTCCATCTTTAAGTAACCTGAAAATGAAAAAATCAACCAAAGATTTTTTTTATTTCTATTCTAAATGTTTGTTTTACAAGAGATGTTGCAATGATGGATATCCTGCGAAATGTACTCAATAAAATTTTTGTACTTCTGGATAAATCATTGTGCAAGAATCTACTAGTCAGCCGGATTCTTTTTTATGAAAAATGAAATGTAGATGCAATGCGGATCCTAATATCAGAAAACATGTAAAAAAAATTCGACGTATATGCGCGCGCCTATCATTTCTCCAGTTATAATCGAACGTGTAATATCATCTTTTGTCTCGTATCTGAAAATATCTTGAAGCTAATGGAAACCGCATTAAACATTTCTCGTAAAATAAACATTTAGAAAAAGAATAAGAAAATCTCCAATTAATTACTTTGCTTTAAATTACCATAATTTTTTCATACCAGGTGATTTGAAAGTTAATACTTGATACACATCTGAAATACATTTTTCTCTGGCTATAATAATATAGAAAGAAAAATATGTCATCATTGTTTATAAAAAAATGACAATGATTCTGAAAACTTGAGAAAAAATAATTTTGTTGGAAAAAATGATGAACCATAATATTTATCGTTTGAAACTAAATAACTTTGTCTTGAGATATTTCTCTATATTGGCAAAAATAATGAACATGTTGAGGTGAGCAAGATAAAAGATAAAAGAAAAACCCTGTATACTATATATATATACTATATACTATATTATATACCCTTATGTTTATTTTGAAAGCATAAGTCACTTTATAGTAATGAAAAATTATGATTCGTTGACGCCTGTGCGAAATTATTTATATCGAGAAAAATATAAATATCCAAGGTAAAATTTTTCGATTGTTAAAAGTTAGCATCAATTTTTTTAGGCACATTAAAACGCAAATGCTTAAACATCTTGATTTAAAAACAAAGTGACTTATGCCATTTTCAAAATAAACGGTCTATATAGAATAGAAATAAAATTCTAATAAATATCGCCATCTGAAGTGTCAGATATTTTTCTTCGAAAGACAATATGACGTGCATTGCAACTTGCAATTCTGCATTCTTAATTGCGTAACATTCAAATACGACGATTAAATATTGCTCGAATTTCCTGTTAAGTTTGCCGACTTCCTTGACGGGAAAGCAATATCTAGATTACGTACTAACTGTATTCGTAGCTGATGATATCGACCTTATTCGGTAAACAGTAGCATGGAGAGAAGGGAGAAAATATACACACTAGTGATATCTGCTACCTGTGATTCAGTGATTTCGTGACTTTCAAACGATGCCTCAACAATAAACTTTTAGATATTAACGGTGCAGTAAAACGAACGAACTATGGAAGTGTAATGAAAGAGAAAATGGATTCGTGTTTCGCATCGAGAGAATTTGGACGCTTGTCTACCATTTGCTTGTATACTGAGAAGGCCGATCGGATTAAGAAACTGCGACACTACTAGAGTGTCTGTAAGTCAGAAATCTTAGAAGTTTTTATAAATAATATATGGATATAATTATATGGAATATATAATGGTTCACGATATAGTGCTTGAACATAAATAAATATCTTTCATGAATATGTCATAGAAAATATTTAAAACTTTAATTAACATTATAGTGATATATTATCAATCATTAAAGTATTTGTCAATTAATAAACAGTCAAAGTATTTGTCAATTAATGAACAGTCAATTAATAAATCAATATTTAATGAGAGCATCTTTAGCATATTTAAGACTATCTTTAGTATTATGTTAATATTATTTCTACTGCATAACAATTTTTTATCAATAAAATTCTTGAACTTTTGCATACTTGCACTTTTCGATTGATTGCAAATTTTATCATTACAATTACAATAATCGTATTTCGTTACAATATTAATGAAATTTCAAAAAGTTTCACATAACGCACTCTATGGTAAGTATTCGAACTTGGTGAATTACTATATTTCTTTGTATTACGTTTTTTATATTAATTTATAAAAACAGCGATAATATTCGTTGTAGAAGAATAATAAATTTAATTAAAGAATTAATCGATGAAATTTATTGATAAATTTGAAAATTTAACATAATGTAGAGAGTAAGGTTAATTCAATCAAAAGATCGGTTCAGCGCCATCTATATCGTTACAAGTATCAATTGATACGATTCAATCAATCGTTAATTTTCTAATTTCCATGTTGTTGATTTTGTACACGCATGAGAGTTCCTCTTTCTGATTCAATGCGCCAGTATTTCCAATGAACGACTGTCAAATGCCGTTTATTCGAAAGCGTCAAATTAGAATCGTTTTAAACAACTTCCACGCCATTTTGCACAGGTAGTTTGACGGATTGAATATATGTAGTACGAACGACTGAGTATCTGTGTCACCGACAAGTAAACAGACATTTTATCGATTTTGAAGAAGAAAAGGAAAAAATAATAGAAGAGAAAAGTTTTGGAAGCGAGAAGATACTTTCTAAGAAATTTAACTTGCATTTGTCTCACAACGTGTTACATGAACGTCAGTTTCATTGGTAACGTTATTATGGCCTTAATTAAACTTTCGAGGAGTCAAATGCTGCTATTTAGTTTTGTTAGTAGTTTCGGATTAATTTATTTTTCATTAATACGAATTTGTCGACACGTCTATTTCGATTAATATTCTTGGTTCTAATTGGAGAATCACTTTTACATAGATATTTGAATCTGTAAATTTTTTATATTATAGTTAATACTAACTATAATATAAATGTAGTATATACTACAACTTGTTTTTTTTAAAAGATCTTTAAAACAATTGATCGTTTCTGGTGACTCGAGAATATCTGTTGTGCAAAAGTTACATAGAATTTGTTAAGTGAACAAGAATTGCGACTATGTTGTGATATATTCAAGTAAGGAAATATTCTTAAATTTTATTCTGAGCTCTTGTTATTTTGACTCGTTATGAATTCATACGGTGAAATCGCGTTTGCTCATATGAAATTGTTGTTACTGCCTAGTTTAAACTGAATTACGCTGCAAATTTTTCACCATGCCGACGCTCCGTAGCAAAAAATTGTTTGAAACTCGCTGGTAAATTAGTTTTTAAAATATATTGCATTTTGAAAAAGCAACTATCGCCGCATTATCACGATGCATAGTTAGTTTTCTGCAGGAATATTACGTAGAAATCATCATCGTCTTCTGTAAATATTCATTAGACGTCTTGCCTTCTAAGGCAATCTTGCCTTAAGAGCTACGCCTTTTATCAGGGTTACAAGTTTGAACTAATATTTCGAGAAATATTTCAAGTAAATTCTAATAGCGTGCAGATGAGATACTCACATGCATCGTTAGAGACCGAGTATACGGTACATTAATCACGTCGCTTTAATATGATTAAGGTTAACGATTGCATACATTGTTGTTTATATTAACAGTTTAATGAAAGCGTCTCGTTGCATAAAAATGAATTCATTCTCTTTGTATTAGAGTATCGAGATGCTTTGTTATTATTTTGCATTGCAATATAAAATTAAGATATTCGTAAGCTTCATAAGGGAGGCTCCATGAATGTTTCAGACTTTAATCAAATTAGTAGTAATTAGTAGTAAGTGCAATAGAGCTTGGGGACATTATTCGGTATAATCCCCGGTGATATTTTTGGTAAGAATGTAAATTAGATGAGTTGAATTTATACGAATAAGTTTTTTAACCCCTTCACTACCATGGACGAGATATCTCTATAATTGTCGCTCCTGCAATACCATGAACAACTCCCTAGCATAATTTTCATCTCTACATATGAACTATAAACTCATAGACAAAAAATTTTGGTTATCTCATTCATGGCGAAAGAATTAATTCATTCAGGAAATAAATATAGAGAAAGATACATGATTCTCACGTGAACGCTCACGAGGCCGCTACCATGATTAATGAATGAGTTATAATTATGGGAAGAAGACTAATAAAGTCGTTAAGACATCGTCGACCTTAAATTATCATTTACGAGCTTATTCTTGTTACGCTTCGTCAACCGACTGTGACAGTATTAAAGGACTCCAAGATTTTTCTTTTGGACTCGAAGATTTTTCATTTTCTTCTGAGAGTATTAAAAGATTCCAAGATTTTCCTGAATGTTGTTTGAACTTTTACGGTTGATACTTACGAAATGCTATTATATCAGATTTAATG